CTGCTCTCCTCCCATTCAGACAGCTCAGATATTCACCTGTGTGTGTGTGTGTGTGTGTGTGTGTGTGTGTGTGTGTGTGTGTGTGTGTGTGTGTGTGTGTGTGTGGTAAAGGGCAGCGGCTCCATGACGTCATCAAGGCTGGACTGTAAAAGAATCTGGTCACCCGGCACTTGCGGGGGCAACCCGATCTGACCCTCAGAGCCGTCCACATGACACTAAACACACCGAGCCGGTGTCACTATCATTCACACACACACACACACACACACTGACCAGCGCACAGAGGGAGGGTGGGGTGTGTTGGGTGCTTCACATAAGACTGGAATTTAGTCTTTTATCCCAAATTCACACCAACAGCCCAAAAGAATGACTCAGATACACATTTAGAGTCCTGCAAATCATGAGATGGGTCAGAAAATCAAAGGCTTTCCCCACGTCCTGCACAAGTAACGCTAAGATTTAAAACAAGGGTGTCCAGGCGTATCTGCAAGGGGCCGGCGTGGCTGCAGGCTTTCAGTCCATCAAAGCTGGAGGTCACCTGATCAGTTTGAAGGCTGAGCAACTGATTTATAAAGTAGAATCAGGTTTGGAATGAAAACCTGCAGCCATACCGGCCATTTGTGGATAATACTGGACACCCTTGCTATAAAAGAACATAAGGAGGGAATATAATCTTCTTTTGCAGGTGTAACTGAATGATCTGAATGATCATTTTAAATATGCATAAAAATATTTATTAAAAAAATAACTTTTGGTTTAAAAACAAAGGGCTAATGCGTGATCTAAACATGATGAGGAAATCTGCATTCGAAACTGGTCACACAACACAAATGCGGCCATTTTATTTACTATCCAAAACCACCAGTGTCTTCTGAGTTTAATAGTTTGCTTCTTTTAAAGCCAAAACCTTCTCTTAAATCTATCGTAAAACATTGGGCCTCGTTCTCCAGCATCTTCCTAAGTTTGTTCTTAAATGTGTTCTTGAGAAAGATCCTAAGAAAAAGTCTACGTCAGATTCATGACGTGTTCTTAAAGCCAGAACTGTTCTCACCTTTGTGCTCTTGAGTGTGCGTAGATTCAGTTTTTACCTAAGAACAAATCCCTCATAATAAAACACTGGTGAGTCAGAATCTTCGTCAAAACTGCGTAAGTGGGTTTGGAGAAGAAATTAAGAATGGGAGGCTCCACTGTCTCAGATGTCAGTCAGTGAATTCATAACCATTTCATGTAGTAACTTTCTGTGAGGGAGCTTTTAGAGGTGGACGTCTGGTTCCTATCACCACCACTGTGAACAATTCTGACTCGGCAAGTTTCTCTAGAATGGAGCGTTTCACACCAAACCACTCTGAACCACTCTGTTTACATCTTCACCAATTATTAATGTAGAAATTCCCCTTTGAAAAATATTATTCGTTTATTAAAGTATGCACTTCAAGGCTAGCAGAGTGATAACACTGTAAGAGCTGCAGCTTAACTATTATGTCTATATGATTCACCCAATATCAATACAAATACCTTTAAAATACACCCAGGACAGGCAGTTCTCATCAAATCGTGCTGTAGTTTTATTTGAGTTATTTTCTGACTCGTTGCTCATTGAAACAAGCGGAGAAATTGTGTGGAAAGTGCAGATTCAAAACTTTCAATCCCTACTGCATCAGTGTTTGTAAGTAGGAGATATTTTATTATGATATAAATTTGATGAAAAGCTATTTATTGTCTTGTTTTCGCAGAAAGAAGACTAGAATCTATCACTGCAGAACAAAATGTAATTGTAAATCACCATGGAATTAAATTGGAACAGCAAAACAACAACAACTCCAGACTTTTAAAGGGGAAAAGTTAATGAGTCACGTAAAGAGGTGCCATATAAAACACGACATCAGTCTCCGTCCAAACACTTCTGCCCTGTGTGGTATATGTGCTGTATGGTAACCGTAGCGTGCTCAGCCCATCCTCTCTTGAATCCCTGCTAAACACAATGCATTATGCACACGCTGCAATATTCAGGAGCTGTGAATAGCAGATTAGTCGCTGATTAACAATTGACCAACAGTAATGCTATTTTCCACATCGGCTGGGAAGAGGACACGGCCGAGAGAGCAAATTAGCATCAATCTGAAATCTGTGCGATTGGAGTCACTGCTGAAGTGAGCAAACAGACGACAGTATATGGGAGGCAAATCCGGCCCAAAAAGAAATGAAAATTAAAACAGTAAAATTTAAATAAAAACCTGTTTTTGCCATTTCTTTTTCCAAACATCTGTGCAAATATCCTGCCAAAATTGAAAATGAAATGAAATACCTACATTTGCGGTTTAATTTTTCATATAAGCAGGAGCCATTTGTGACAAAAATAAAAATAAATATAAAACAGTTATTTGTCATTTCATTTTAGTCGCTATTCTGGATTTTCATGGCCAAATCTAAAATGGAAAAGCTAACAGAGAAAAGAAAATCCAAGCTTCACTTCGGCTTTTCTTCATGAAATGCAGAATATGTGTCAAAACTAAAGTCTAAATGCAATGTTTACATTCGTATTTCTTTTTTATAGCAATCGGCTGCATATCTGACAAAACGAAAATGAAAATGCAAAATGGATAAATCAACAGCAAAGTGATAGTCTGTGACTCAGTTTTCGGCATTAAGTGTCAGAATAAGCAGGCAAATGCAAACGAACATCGGCGCCACCTGCTGGAGATTTACTTTTCATTCCCCACTTTGCTTTTTCGTTTTCAAATTGACCAACATGCAAATATATGTTAATTAGCCTTAGGCGGGGATACGGGGTACATTTTAGGACATCCTCAGACCTCAGAGTCAGAACGGCATCATTCTTCGGACTAAACCGGATTTGCCTCCCATAACAACAAGCACCAGGACTGAGAAGAACAGCAGATGATGATTTAAGAATTCACCAACATTCATCTGTACATCATCTGAACCAGCAACACCAGTGAAAATAACACAGTCCAGCATCATAACCATCGGAACCAATAAGTATCCACTCATTGTCCATTTTATCAGCTCCACTTACTATATAGGTGCACTTTGTAGTTCTACAGTTACAGACTGTAGTCCATCTGTTTCTCTGATACTTTGTTAGCCCCCTTTTACCCTGTTCTTCAGTGGTCAGGACCCCCATGGACCCTCACATTCTCAGCACTGCAGTAACACTGATGTGGTGGTGGTGTGTTAGTGTGTGTTGTGCTGGTACGAGTTTTTAAACACTATGTCCACTCACTGTCCACTCTATTAGACACTCCTACCTTGTCAGTCCACTCTGTAGATGTGAAGTCAGAGACGATAGCTCATCTGCTGCTGCACAGTTTGTGTTGGTCATCCTCTAGTCCTTCATCAGTGGTCACAGGACGCTGCCCACAGGACGCTGTTGGCTGGATATTTTTGGTTGGTGGACTATTCTCAGTCCAGCAGTGACACTGAGGTGTTTAAAAACTCCAGTAGCACTGCTGTGTCTGATCCACTCAGACCAGCGCAACACACACTAACACACCACCACCACGTCAGTGTTACTGCAGTGCTGAGAATGATCCACCACCCAAATAGTACCTGCTCTGTGAGGGTCCATGGGGGTCCTGACCACTGAAGAACAGGGTAAAAGGGGGCTAACAAAGTATCACAGAAACAGATGGACTACAGTCTGTAACTGTAGAACTACAAAGTGAAACTATATGGTCAGTGGAGCCGATAAAATGGACAGTGTAGAAACAAGAAGGTGGAACAGAATGAAGGAAAGTGCACAAAAGAGTCAGACAGACAGATAGAGAGAGAGAGAGAGAGAGAGAGAGAGAGAGAGAGACAGAGAGAGAGAGAGAGAGAGAGAGAGAGAGAAATCGGGTATAAGCAAGTTCTGTTGTGGCCCGTATAGACATATGCTGCCCCCTAGTGGACTCAGTCCTACACGACTAGAATTTTTTTCAGACTGAAAAAGAGTAATACTATAGATCTATAGAATTAAGATTGGGTCTGAACAAATAACATATTTATATCTAAATTTCAATCTGAAAGAGTGCAATTTTCAAATCACAACAGCCGCGATTTTAGTTGTTTTCCACGTTGTCAAGTTTTAAGTGGTGAAATTTAATCTAAAAACACAGAGCATGTGAACTGGCAGTCTGACACACTACATTTAGCATTTAAGCCTCAAGTGCTGGTCTGATTTAGTGAAAAGCAAACCTGCAGCTCAAACCACAGTTGCAATACTTTTGAGAATGAACATACCCTGTGCTTCAACTCACTGGCCACTTTATTAGAAACACCTACCCTTTGCTTCCACTCACTGGCCACTTTATTAGAAACACTCACCCTGCTCTTCCACTCACTGGCCACTTTATTGGAAACACCTACCCTTTGCTTCCACTCTCTGGCCACTTTATTAGAAACACTCACCCTGCTCTTCCACCCACTGGCCACTTTATTGGAAACACCTACCTTGTGCTTCCACTCACAGGCCACTTTATTAGAAACACCTACCCTGTGCTTCTACTCACTGGCCACTTTATTGGAAACACCTACCTTGTGCTTCCACTCACTGGCCACTTTATTAGAAACACCCATCTTGTGCTCCCACTCACTGGCCACTTTATTAGAAACACCCATCTTGAGCTTCCACTCACTGGCCACTTTATTAGAAACACCCATCTTGTGCTCCCACTCACTGGCCACTTTATTAGAAACACCCATCTTGTGCTTCCACTCACTGGCCACTTTATTAGAAACACCTGCCTTGTGCTTCCATTAATTGGCCATTTTATTAGAAACACCTCCCTTGTGCTTCCACTCACTGGCCACTTTATTAGAAACACCTGCCTTGTGCTTCCACTCACTGGCCACTTTATTAGAAACCCTGTGCTTACAATTTTAAAACTGAAATTTTAAACTGGTGTTGAGGGGGTGCAAAACAGCTCATGGCAAATTCACCTGTTGAAAGTCAGTTTAAAGAGCACGTGTAGCTACGCTGTCAGACGCAGTCTGCGTACCTTGTTGGATCTCAGAGAGACGCGTCCTCCGCAGCGCGCGCAGAACTTGGTTTGGCAATAAGAACACACATGGCCGCAGCCGTCGGCAAACTTGGTTTTGTGGCAGATTCCGCAGGTGGGGGAGTCGCCCTTCGGCTCCTGAGCCTTCTGAGCCTCCTCCCCGATCTTCTTCACCTGGTCCTTATACATCTCAAACTGCTGGTGCAGCTTCCTGCACAGAGGAAAGAGCCGGAATCACACACTGTTCTCTTTTTACACGTTCCAGCTCGGACAAAACAACATGAGCACAATGACATGAAGTATGTTCAGCATATCTAGACAGAAATTAAGGTACGAGAATAAAACATGTAAGAAATAAGACTAAACAGGATATAATAATACAACAGATAAACAGAATAATCAGTCCAGATTAAGAATTATTGACACACTTCAACAACTGACTGTTATCACCTTCAGCTCGTGCTGTGGATCACATGCCACCTATTATATAACAGTTCTGAAAATTAAAAAACACAAGTAAAGCCTCAAATGTGTGGTTTTGAATAGTAAACAATGTTTGTTGTGGTTCATGAGTGATGGGCAGAGGGATAGTGAGATCGGCCGCAGGCTGGGACAGTTGGTAGCAGTAATGCGGTCACTGTACCGGACTGTAGTGGTGAAGAGGGAGCTGAGCCAGAAGGCAAAGCTCTCTGTTTACCGGTCGGTCTACATCCCACCCTCACCTGTGGTCATGAGCTGTGGGTAATGGCCACAAGTATGAGTTCGCAGATACAAGCGGCACTAGACAGAGTGAGGAGCTCGGCCACCCGGGAGGAGCTCAGAGTAGAGCGGCTACTCCTCCAGTTTGAGAGGTGCCAGTTGAGGTGGTCAGGATGCCCCCTGGACGCCTCCCAGTGGGGGTGTACCAGGCACAGCCTACTCGGATGAGACCCCGGGGTCGTCCTAGGACCCTGCTGGAGGGATTATATCTCCAAGTTGGCCTGGGAGCGGCTTGGGGTCCCCTAGGCTGAGACTTGTGGGGGACACGGTCGACTGGGATTCTCTGCTCTCCCAACTGCTACCGCGACCCCATCTGGATTAAGCAGTTTAAGATGACGATGATGATGTTTGTAATGGATCAAAGAGAAGCCAATGAAGGTGCTCTATGGTACCAAACAATGTAGTGAACAACGGAACAAAAAAAGGCACTTATTTGTTGAAGATAAAAAGTCTGTCGGTCACCTGAATGCCCATCAACACATGGGTCACTTATTGTTGTTGAATTCCTGTGTAGTAAGAAAAGCATTAATTCACGGCTTGGGCAAAAGAGAGCCTTGTTTTTCTTCTCTTTGTTTGTGTTTTTAATATTGGCCATTCCTTCCGCCAAAGAAAGTAGTTCCAGTACAGCGACCATTGTTGTTGCTTAGCAACCAGTAGAATGACGCAGGTATGGTCAGATTTAACAACACAGGTAGAAGCTTCTCAACCATTTAGATCACGTGGTCAGAAATGTTGTTCATGAATTATAAAGGGCCCAGATCCTACATTTTTTTTATATTTACCTTTTTCCTGGAGGTCCACTTACAATGTTTGTGTGCCTTTTTTTTAACCAAAAACATGTATAATGAATTTTTATGTGACCATTTTCCAACCTCTCCTTATCCCTTAAAATTAAATGCAAATGAGCTCTGTTCTGATTGGCTGGGCCTCATTCAAAAAACAGTCCGGGCTGAAAAACATATAACTTTGAGTGGGCAGGGCTAAATGCTGTAGCCTGAATAGCCACATATTTCTAATCGGTTGTTTTCCGTGACATCACAAAAACTCTTTTATTTCAAAAGAGTAAAGCAAACTTTGTTTTACCAAGATATAAGTCCTTTAAGCAAAAGCTACACTCTTAAAAAAGGTCCTTCAAGGGTTCTTTAATAAAGAAAATGGTTCTTTGCACCATGAAAGGGTTATTCAGATTGACGGAGAATGTATTGTACACAGTTCTATATAGAATCTTTTTGAAAATGGTTTTTTAAAGCACCAAAAATGTTCTGCTATTGCTACGAAGTCAAGCTTGTCACAATAAAAGAAACCTTTTTTGGTGCTATATAGAACCCTTTTCAAAAAGGTTCCGTATAGAACCATCTACACCACATTCTGTGATCTAGAACAGGGCTGTATAAGAAAACGATGAGATCTCACACTTTTCTTATGGGGATATTGTTCAGGTGAGACTGGGCTGAGACGAGTCAGACACTGTGTGACAACATTTAGATCAAAGTGAGAAAATCTGAGTTTTATTCCTCAGGAGACAAATTTCAGAAACAGGAGAAAACAACTTCAGCCTCACTCTGATTTCAAACTGGACTTAACTGTGTCTAGGAGAGGAACCTGAGACCAAGAGGAGATCTCATTTAGGATATCTCTTTCCTCTGGGACGGACCCTGCACACATGCACATATTCACATATTCATCTCTTCAGCTCTTTTTAAAGCCAAGCTCATTACATTCTCTGAATTTCAGTCATTTAGTGTGTTTACATGCACTTAATAATCTGATAACTGCAGAAAATCAGATTTTGTCAGTAATCTGATCAACACGTTTACATGTACTTGAGTAATCAGATAATGGGGAAACTCCGGGTCTACATCAGTCAGGCAGTAATCAGATTTCTGCTTTACAACCAGCTAATAAACCGACAGAATAAGACGTGACATAAACATAACATAAAACTCAAACTTCATGTCGCAGCTTTTTTTTTTGTTTTGTTTTTAAAACATCACACGACTTCAGCTGAAAACGTGAACATACATCATCTAGAAGATGAAGAAAATTTAAATCCTTCACTTCGTCAAACGTGTATTTGGTTTCAGTGTCGCTCCAAAAGTGTTTTACTGCATCTCGCAGCGACGCCGCTCGCTTATTTCCGGTACCGCTGTCTGTTTTCGCACATGCTCAGACTGAGAAATCTGAAAGAAATCAGAGTAAGAGTTTAGAGCACTGAGAAATCTGATTACTGAGCTAAAATCCAGCCTCTTTATCTGATTTCTAAAACGGATTTCCAGACCTTACCCTGATCTAAAAAATCAGAGTGTGCTGTTTACATGACCATCTGAGTAATCAGATAACTGCAGAAACCTGATTATGATCGGATTAAGTGTGTGTAAATGCACTCAGTGTTCCATAATTTTAGGGTTTCTTTCTTGCTGGAAACGTCTTGAATCCTGATATCACTAATAAATCGGTATCCCGTGACTTTAACAAGTTGCCTTATATGTCAAATTGGTACAAAGTGTTAAACAGATAAAACAGGTGCAATAGAGTCGGATCAATATCTGCCGAGTTGATTCAAGCAGCAGCTCTGAAGCTTTGCAGTGGCATAAATGTAATATATGAACTATCATCAGCAAAATTAACCCAGGTTAATTAACCCTTCTCCTTTTATCCCAGTTCATTTTTAGCGTGCACGTTTAGTTACAGCTAACAAAGCATTTTCAGTCTATGTGACAGCGTTTTCTGTATGCTCTGGCGTTTTATACAGCTACGCCAGCATCGTTAGCAGCAATAATTTCTATAACTCTAATCAATCAGGGTTCATAATGACCCTAGATACAGCTGGAATTTATAGATCATTAAGTTTAAATGTGTAAGTTTAATCAGTACTCATTACTACAGCTGCCTTTTAGTGATGATTCCTCGTTTATCACACTTGATATGAAGGATTTAAAGTGATAGTTTAGCAAAAATGTACACAGTTTCCTCCCTTAGTCAATCAGCTAAGTCATGTTTGGTGTCTGATGTTTGCTTCTTTATTTTTGCACTGGAGCTACGAGGCTAATGTAGCTAACAAGTAATCCATTAGATTAAACCCCCTATAATTAGCATGGTGCTAACTGCATGTCTGAGTTCAGTATCTCTAATAGTCTTGATTATGAGGTTTCTGACACTGTATGACTCCCTGTTATCTGTAAACATGGACTGAAGTACAAACAAAATTCTACTGCTATTGTTTTTAGCAATGCTAACACACTTTGGTCCATGTTTATAGGTAACGGTGTATGAAGGACCAGATTTGCCAAAATGAAAAATAAATAAAATGTCTTAGTAAATGAATATATGAAGTAGAACTGCAAAGAATAATGATGTTAAATCTAAAAATAAATAAATATACCTAACAATTAATATATTAATAAATAAAATCTTATATAAATTAATATGCCTGCATTTACATATGTCTATTTAGTCACTTCCCCTTCTCACTAATTTTTGTATTTATTTTTTTTTGTTATTTATGTTTCTTTATTAACATTTCTTCTGTTTTTCTATTCATTTATTTCCATAGCTATTAATTTCTATATTTATTTATTTCTCTATTTATTTATTTCTGTATTTCCTTGTCCTTATGCTAATAAAGGGGCTGTCAGTTAATGTTAATATTCCTATTGGTTGATGGATGTCAGATTCTGTAGATTGATTGTTCATGTCTTGCTCTCTCAGCGGTAACTAAGGACCAGACAGTACAGTAACGGCTTCTTACAGCAGCAGACAGTCAGAGATCTGAGAGTCTCGGCTGGTCTGGCTGAAAATGCATGTCTGGATTATTGACTCTTCTGTTGGAGGCTGTGGGGTCAGTTTGGTCCATTTAGCTGCCTCTGCTGATTCAGAGGTCGACCCGTAGTGTTCAGAACTCTGGAGGAGGTGGTTCAAAATTCAGATCACTCAGGCATTCGGACGCCCTCCTCACACGGCCTGTGGAAGCCAGTGAAAGTTATTTATCGGCAGGTCTGTCTGTTCGTGATGTTGCAGCTCTTTATGGAGTGAAAGAACAGTTTAATCAGCTCTTCTCCTCCTGGTCTTGATTGCTAAGCCTGAACGTGAAAAACACGCCCCCTCATTATCATATGAATGAAGAAATACAGAAATAAATAAATGAATTAATGGAAAAAAATGAATGAATTGATAAAAAAAAAATAAACGAATACATAAATCAATGAATAAAGCGAACAACTGTTAGAATATAAATATGGAAAAAAATATATAAAAATGGCATTAATAAAACAAAATAAATAATACAGAAATACATAAATTGAGAAATATATAACTGCAGAAAAAGAAAATGTGTATAATTACAACCACAATAAGCAATATATACTTTATTAAGGTTTTTTTTTATTTATTGATTAATTTACTGAGCCATTTATTTTAAAATTTTTATTTATTTTTCAATTTGGCAAATCTGGT